TTTCCATAGTGGTTTTACTAGCTTACATTCCCACCAGCAGTGTAAAAGTGTTTCCTGTTCACCGCATCCACATCAACATCTGTTTTTTGATTTTTTGATTATCCTGCCATTCTTGCAGGACTAAGGTGATATTGCATTGTGGTTTTGATTTGCATTTCCCTGATCATTAGTGATGTTGAACATTTTTTCATATGTTTGTTGGCCATTTGTATATCTTCTTTTCAGAATTGTCTATTCATGTCCTTAGCCCACTTTTCAAAGGGATTGTTTCATTTTTCTTGCTAATTTGTTGAAGTTTCTTGTAGATTCTGGATATTAGTTCTTTGTCAGATGTATAGATTGTGAAAATTTTCTCCTGCTCTGTGGGTTGTCTGTTTACTTTACTGACTGTTCCTTTTGCTATGCAGAAGTTCTTTAGTTTCTTTAACTCCTATCTATTTATCTTTGTTTTTGTTGCATTTGCTTTTGGGTTCTTGATCATGATGTCTTTGCCTAAGCCAATGTCTAGAAGGGTTTTTCTGATGTTACCTTCTAGAAGTTTTATAGTTGTAGGGCTTAGATTGAGGTCCTTGATGCATCTTGAGTTGATTTTTGTATAAGATGAGAGATGAGGATCCAGTTTCATTTTCCTACATGTGGCTTACCAATTATCCCAGCACCATTTGTTGAATAGGATGTCAATTCCCCACTTTATGTTTTTATTTGCTTTCTCAAAGAGCAGTTTGCTGTAGGTATTTGGATTTATTTCTGGGTACTATATTCTGTTCCATTGTTCTTTGTGCCTATATTTATACCAGTAACATGCTGTTTTGGTGACTATGGCCTTATAGTGTAGTTTGAAATCAGGTAATGTGATGCCTCCAGATTTGTTCTTTTTGCTTTGTCTTACTTTGGCTACGCGGGCTCCTTTTTTTTTCCATATTAATTTTATGATTGTTTTTTCTAGTTCTGTGAGGAATGATGCTGGTATTTTGATGGAGATTGCATTGAATTTGCAGATGGCTTTTGGCAGGGTGGTCATTTTCACAATATTGTTTCTACCCGTCCATTAGCTTGGGATGTTTTTCCATTTGTGGTCATCTATAATTTCTTTCAGCAGTGTTTTGTAGTTTTCCTTGCAGAAGTCTTTCACCTCCTTTGTTAGGTATATTCCTAAGTGGGTTTTTTTTTTTTTTTTGGTAGCTATTGTAAAAGTGGTTGAGTTTTGGGTTTGAGTCTCAGCTTCATTGCTGTTGATGTACAGCAGAGCTACAGATTTGTGTACATTAATTGTGTATCCTAAAACTTTGCTGAATTCATTTATCAGTTCTAGGAGCTTTTTGGAGGATTCCTTAGGGTTTTCTAGGTCTATGATCATATCATCAGCAAACAGCGAAAGTTTGACTTCCTCTTTATCAGTTTGGATGCCCTTTATTTCTTTCTCCTGTCTGATTGCTCTGGCTAGGACTCCCACTACTATGTTAAATAGGAGTGGTGAGAATGGGCATCCTTGTCTTATTCCAGTTCTCAGAGGGAATTTTCTCAACTTTTCCCCATTCAGTATTATGTTGGCTGTGGGTTTGTCATAGATGGCTTTTATTACATTTAGGTATGTCCCTTGGATGCTGATTTTGCTGGGGTTTAAATCATTTTGTGTTTTAAATTTCGTATTTCTGTGCTGTCAGTTTTAATGTCTATTTCATTTCTAATTGGGCTTATTTTGATCTGTGTCTTATCTTGATTGTTTCATAAACTTACTGAGGTCTGCTGGATTTCTTTCTCTCTTTTTATTATACTTTAAGTTCTGGGGTACATGTGCAGATTGTGCAGGTTTGTTACGTGGGTACACACGTGCCCTGGTGGTGGTTTGCTGCATCTATTGCCCCATCATGCTATCCATCCTGAATCCCCCCACCCCCTGCTATTCCTCCCCTAGCCCTCCACCCTGCAGACCCTGGTGTGTGATGTTCCCCTCCCTGTGTCCGTGTGTTCTCATTGTTCAACACCCACTTATGAGTGAGAACATGTGGTGTTTGGTTTTCTGTTCTTTTGTCAGTTTGCTGAGAATGATCCTTTCTAGATTCATCCATATTCTACAAAGGACGTGAAATCATCCTTTTTTATGGCTGCATAGTATTCCATGGTGTATATGTGCAGTCTATCATTGATGGGCATTTGGGTTGGTTCCAAGTCTTTGGTATTGTGAACTGTGACGCAATGAACATATGTGTGCATGTGTCTTTATAATAGAATGATTTATAATCCTTTGGGTATATACCCAGTAATGGGATTGCTGGACCAAATGGTATTTCTATTTCTAGATCCTTGAGGAATTGCCACTGCTTTTTATGCATCTATTCAGATGATCATGTGATTTTTAAAAAATTCTGTTTTGTGTGTGTATCACATTTATTGACTTGCGTATGTTAAACCATCCCTGAATCCCCGGTATAAAACTCACTTGATCATGGTGGATTATCTTTTTGATATGCTGTTGGTTTTGGTTAGCTAGTATTTTGTTAAGGATTTTTACATCTATGTTCATTAGGAATTCGTCTGTAGTTTTCTTTTTTTGTTATGTCCTCTCCTGGTTTTGGTATTAGGGTGATACTGGCTTTACAGAATGATTTAGGAAGGATTCCCTCTTTCTATATCTTGTGGAATAGTGTCAATAGGATTGGATCCAATTCTTCTTTGAGTATCTGATAGAATTCAACTGTGAATCCATCAGGTCCTCGATTTTTGTTGTTGTTGTTGTTGGTAATTTTTAAATTACCATTTCAATCTCACTGCTCATTATTCATCTGTTCAGGGTTTCTAATTTTAACTGATTTAAGCTAAGAGGGTCGTATATTTCCAGGAATTTATCCAGCTCCTCTAGGTTTTCTAGTTTGTGTGCATAAAGGTATTCATAGTAACCTTGAATGAAATTTTGTATTTCTGTAGTGTCAGTTGGAATATCTTACATTTCATTTCTAATTGAGCTTATTTTGACATACTCTCTTTTCTTGGTTAATCTTGCTAATGGTCTAACAGTTTTATTTATCTTTTCATAGAACCAGCAGTTTGTTTCATTCATCTTTTTTACTGTTTTATTCAATTCCTTTTAGTTCTCCTTCGATCTTTGTTATTTCTTTTATTCTGCTGGGTTTGGGTTTGGTTTGTTCTTGTTTCTCTAGTTCCTTGAGGTGTGATCCTAGATGTTTATTTGTTCTCTTTCAGACTTTTTGATGTCGGCATTTAATGCCATGAACTTTCCTCTTGGCACCACCGCAGCTGTATCCTGAAGGTTTTGATAGGTTGTATCACTATTATCATTCAGTTCAAAGAATTTTTATATTTTCATTTTGATGTCATTGTTGATCCAGTGATCATTCAGGAGCAGGTTATTTAATTTCCATGTATTTGCATGCTTTTAAAGGTTCCTTTTGGAGTTGATTTCCAATTTTATTTCACTGTGGTCTGAGAAAGTACTTGGTCACTGGTCATTAGAGAAATGCAAATCAAACCACATTGAGACACCATCTCACACCAGTTAGAATGGCGATCACTAAAAAATCTGGAGAAAACAGATGCTGGAGAGGATGTGGAGAAATAGGAACACTTTTACACTGTTGGTGGGAGTGTAAATTAGTTCAATCATTGTGGAAGACAGTGTTGCAATTCCTCAAGGATCTAGAAATAGAAATTCCATTTGACCCAGCAATCCCATTACTGGGTATATACCCAAAGGATTATAAATCATTCTATTATAAAGACACATGTACACATATGTTCACTGTGGCACTGTTTACAATAGCAAAGACTTGGAACCAACCCAAATGCCCGTCAATGATAGGCTGCATAACGAAAATATGGCACATATACACCATGGAATACTATGCAGTCATAAAAAAGGATGAATTCATGTCCTTTGTAGGAATATGGATGAATCTGCAAACCATCATTCTCAGCAAACTCATACAAGAACAGAAAACCAAAGACCGCATGTTCTCACTCATAAGTGGGTGTTGAACAATGAGAACATATGGGCACAGGTAGGGGAACATCACATACTGGGGCCTGTTGGGGGCTGGGGGGCTAGGGGAGGAACAATGGGGGGTGGAGAGGTTGGGGAGGTATAACACTGGGAAAAATGCCTGATGTAGGTGATGGGGGGATAGAGGCAGCAAACCACTATGACATGTATGTGCCTATGCAATAATCCTGCAAGATCAGCATATGTACCCTAGAACTTAAAGTACAATAAAAATTAAAAAAAAATTGGACTTCAAAAAAGTTTTCAATTTTCTTAAACTTACTGAGACATGTTCTGTGCCCTAGTGTATGGTCTATCTTGGAGAAAATTCCATGTGCTGATGAATAGAATGCATATTCTGTGGTTATTGGGTAGAATGTTCTGTAAATATCTTTTAACTCCATTTGTTCTGGGGTATAGTTTAAATACATTGGTTTTTTTGTTGACTTTCTGTCTTGATGACCTGTCTAGTGCTGTCAGTGGAGTACTGAAGTCCCCCACTATTATTGTGCTGCTGTCTATCTAAATTCTTAGGTTTATTAGTAATTGTTTTATAAATTTGGACGCTCCAGTGTTAGATGCATATATATATTTAGGATTGTGATATTTTCCTCTTGGACAAGGTCCTATATAATATATAATATATAATATCCCTTTTTGTCTTTTTAAACTGCTGTTGCTTTAAAGTTTGTTTTGTCTGTTATAAGAATAGCTACTCTTGCTCGGTTTTGATGTTTATTTGCATGGAATGTCCTTTTCTATCACTTTACCTTAAGTTTATGTAAGTCCTTATGAGTTAGGTGAGTCTCTTGAAGGCAGAAGATAGTTAGCTGGTGAATTCTTATCCATACTGTAGTTCTGTATCTTTTAAGTGGAGCATTTTGGCCATTTACATTCAGCGTTAATACTGGGATGTGAGGTACTATTCCATTCATTGTGCTATTCGTTGCCTGAATACCTTGGTTTTTATTTATTTCTTGTATTTTTGTTTTATAGGTTGTATTAGTACATTTTCACACTGCTGATAAAGACATACCTGAAACTGGGCAAGTTACGAAAGAAGGAGGATTAATGGACTTATAGTTCCACAAGGCTGGGGATGCCTCCCAATCATGGTGGAAGGTGAAAGGCGAATCTCACATGGCAGCAGACAAGAGAAGAAAATAGGGCTTGTGCAGGGAAACTCCCAGTTTGTTTGTTTGTTTGTGTTTTGAGATGGAGATGGAGTTTCTCTCTTGTTGCCCAAGCTGGAGTGCAGTGGCACGATCTCAGCTTACTGTAACCTCTGCCTCCTGGGTTCAAGTGTTTCTCCTCCCTCAGCCTCTCAAGTAGCTGGGATTACAGGTATGTACCACCATGCCAGCTAATTTTTTTTTTTTTGTATTTTTAGTAGACACTGGGTTTCACCTTATTGTTCAGGCTGATCTCAAGCTCCTGACCTCAGGTGATCCACCTGCCTCAGCCTCTGTAAGTGCTGGGATTACAGGCGTGAGCCACTGTGCCTGGCCTGAACTCCTATTTTTAAAGCCATCAGACCTCATGAGACTTACTTGCTATCACGAGAACATCACAGGAAAGAACTGCTCCCATAATTCAGTTACCTCCTACCAGGTCCCTCTGAGAACATGTGGGAATTTAAGAGGAGATTTGGCTGGGGATATAGCCAAACTGTATCATTCTGCCCCTGCCCCCCTCCCAAATCTCATGTCCTCACATTTCAAAACCAATCATAATTTCCCAACAGTCTCCCAAACTCTTAGCTCATTTCAGCATTAACTCAAAAGTCCACAGTTGTATCACACCTATGAGCCTGTAATATAAAAAGCCAGTTAGCTACTTCCCAGATACAATGGAGGAACAGGCATTGGGTAAATATAGCTATTCCAAATCAGAGAAATTGGCGAAAACAAAGGGGCTGCAGGCCCTATGCAAGTCCAAAATCCAGCCAGGCAACCAAATCTTAAAGCTCCAAAATGATCTCCTTTGACTCCGTATCTCATAGCCAGGTCATGCTGATGCAAGAGGTGGGCTCCCATGGTCTTGAGCAGCTCTGCCACTGTGGCTTTGTAAGATATAGCCCACCTCCTGGCTGCCTTCATGGGCTGGTGTTGAGTGTCTGTGGCTTTCTGAGGCTCATGGTGCAAGCTGTCAGTGGATCTACCATTCTGAGGTCTGGAGGACGGTGGCCCTCTTCTTACAGCTCCACTAGATGGTGTCCCAGTAGGGACTCTGCATGGGGGCTCCAACCCCACGTTTCCCTTCCAACCTGGCCTAGCAGGGGTTCTCCATGACGGCTCCGCTCCTGCAGCAAACTTATTCCTGGACATCCAGGCATTTCCATATATCCTCTGAAATCTATGCTGAGGTTCCCAAACCCTAGTTCTTGACTTCTGTGCACATCTATGCTCAAAACAACTTGGAGGCTGCCAAGGCTTGGGGCTTGCACCCTCTGAAACCACAGCCTGAGCTTTACATTGGTCCCCTTCAGCCATGGCTAGAGCAACTGGGATTCAGGGCCCCATGTCCCTGAGACTGCACACAGCAGAGGGACCCTAAGTCTGGCCCATGAAACCATTATTTTCCACCTAAACCTTCAGGCCTGTGGGGAGGGGGCTGCTGCAATGGTCTCTGACATGTCCTGGAGACATTTTCTCCTTTGTCTTGGTGATTAACATTCAGCTCCTCTTTATTTTCGAAATTTACACAGTCAGCTCGAATTTCTTCTTAGAAAATGGGATTTTCTTTTCTATTGAATTGTCATGTTGCAAATTTTCCAAACTTTTATGCTCTGTTTCCCTTTTGAAGTTGAATGCCTTTAACACCACCCAAGCCACCTATTGAATGCTTTGCTGCTTAGAAATTTCTTCCCCCAGATACCCTAAATCATCTCCCTCAAGTTCACAGTTCCACAAATTTCTAGGGCAGGGGCAAAATGCCACCAGTCTCTTTGCTAAAACATAGTAAGGGTCACCTTTGCTCTAGTTCCCCAGAAGTTTCTCATCTCCATCTGAGACCACCTCAGCCTGGATTTTATCATCCATATCAGTATAAGCATTTTTGTGAAAGCCATTTGATGTCTCTAGGGAGTTCCAAACTTTCCCACATTTTCCTGTCTTCTTCTGAGCCCTCCAAACTTTTTCAACCTCTGCTTGTTGCCCAGTTCCAAAGTTGCTTTCATATTATCAGGTATCTTTTCAGCAGCCCTCCACTCTACTGGTACCAATTGACTGTATTAGTATGTTTTCACACTGTTGATAAAAAAAAAATACCCGAGACTGGGGAATTTACAAAAGAAAGGGGCTTAATGGATTTACAATTCCACAAGGCTGGGGAGGTCTCACAATTATGGTGGAAGGTGAAAGGCACATTTCAGATGGAGGCAGACAAGAGAAGTGAGGAGAGCTTGTGCAGGAAAACACCCATTTTTAAAACCATCAGATCTCATGAGACTTATTTGCTATCATGAGAACATCATAGGAAAGACTTGCTCCCATGATTCAATTACCTCTTACCAGGTCTCTCCCACAACACATGGGTATCAAGATGAGATTTGTTTGGGAATGCAGCCACACCATATCATAGGTCCTGTGAGATTTGTGCTTTAAAAAGGTTCTGTTTTGATGTGTTCCCAGGATTTGTTTCAGGATTTAGAGCTCCTTTTAGCAGTTCCAGTATGCTGGCCTGTTAGTGGTGAATTCTCTGAGCATTTGTTTGTATGAAAAAGCATGTATCTTTCCTTCATTGATGAAGCTTAGTTTCACTGGATACAAAATTCTTGGCTGGTAATTGTTTTATTTAAGGAGGCTGAAGATAGGGCCCCAATCCCTTCTAGCTTGTAGGGTTTCTGCCAAGAACTCTGCTGTTAACCTGATAGGTTTTCCTTTATAGGTTACGTTGTGTTTTCCCCCCACAAAGCTCTTAAGATTTTTTCCTTTCTCTTGACTTTAGATAACCAAGGGCTATGTGCCTAGGTGATGATCTTTTGGTAATGAATTTCCCAGGTGTTCCTTGGGTTCGTATTTGGATGTCTAGATCTCTAACAAGGCTAGGGAAGTTTTCCTTTATTATTCCCCCAAATATGTTTTTCAAACTTTTAGATTTCTATTCTTCCTCAGAGGTACCAATTATTCTTAGGTTTGATGTTTTAACATAATCCCAAACTTCTTGGAGATTTTCATTTTTAAAATTCTTTTTTCTTTGTCTTTGTTGGATTGAGTTATTTTGAAAACCTTGTCTTCAAGCTCTGAAGTTCTTTCTTCTGCGTGTTTGATTCTGTTGCTGAGGCTTTTCAGTACATTTTGCATTTCTCTAAGTGTGTCCTTTATTTCCTGAAGTGGTGATTATTTTTAATTTATGCTATCTATTTCACTGAAGATTTCTCCCCTCATATTGTGAATCATTTTTTTTGTTTTCCTTAAGCTGGACTTCACCTTTCTCTGGTGCTTCCTTGAGTAGTTTAATAATTGACTTTCTGAGTTCTTTTTCTGGCAATTCAGAAATTTCTTCTTGGTTTGGATTTGTTCCTGGCAAGCTAGTGCAATTTGTAGGGGCGGGGTGGTGTTAAAGAACTTTTTTTCATATTGCCAGAATTGTTTCTTTGGTTCCTTCTCATTTGGGTAGGCTATGTCAGAAGGAAGATCTGGAACTCAGGGCTACTGTTCAGATTGTTTTGTCTTATGGGGTACTCCCTTGATGTACTTTCCCCCTGCCTTTTCCTAAGGATGTTGCTTGCTGAGAGACTTACTGTAGTGATTGTTATTTCTTTTCTGGATCTAGGCACCCAGCAGGGCTACTAGGCTCCAGGCGGGTACTGGAGGGTGTCTGCACAGAGTCCTGTGATACGAACTGTCTTCAGGTCTCTCAGCCGTGGATTCCAGCACCTGCTCTGGTGGAGGTGGTAGGGGAGTTAAATGGACTCTGTGAGTGTCCTTAGTTGTATTATTGTTGTTTATTGCACTAGTTTTATGCTGGATGGCCTCTGCCAGGAATTGGTGCTTTTAAGAGAGCATGAGGTGTGGAAATATAGGGAGAATCAGGCTGTGGGTGGGGTCATAGAACTCCCAAGAGAATATGACCTTTGTCTTTAGCTACAAGGTTGGGTAGGGAAGAACCATCAGGTAGTGGCAGCATTAGGCATGGCTGAACTCAGACTCTTTTTGGGTTGGGCTTGCTGCAGTATAGGCCTCACCCAGGCCCCATGCAACTTGAAAAGCTGCTTTTGGCAAGACACAGTGGCTCACACCTGTAATCCCAACACTTTGGGAGGCCAAGGCAGGTGGATCACTTTAGGTCAGGAGTTCGAGACCAGCCTTGCCTACTTGGTGAAACCCCATCTCTACTAAAAATACAAAAAGTAGCTGAGTGTGGTTGCACATACCTGTAATTACAGCTACTTGGAAGACTGAGGCAGGATAAACTCTTGAACCCAGGAGGCGGAGGTTGCTGTAAGCCGATATTGTGCCACTGGACTCCTGCAGGAGTGAAACTCCATGTAAAAAAGAAAAAACGCTGGTCTCACTCCCACCATACACCCCTTTAATAGCACTGAGTTTGTTTTCAGGCAGTGGGCAAACAGGGATGAGAACTTGCCCCAGGCTACCAGCCTCCAAGCTGAGAGAGCAAGAAGGGCTTTTGTACCTCCCTGTCTGTTGAGTCTGCACAACATATTCATGCCCTCTCCCGAGTTCTGGCCAGGAATCTTTGTGTTCACTTGGAATTGTTACACAATTCAGCTGGAGGTTTCCTTCCCCATATGGTCTTTTCCCAGTTCCTCTGGCAGCCTTCCCCAAGGACCCCTGAGAGATAAATCAGAAATGGCTTCCTTGGGGATCAAGAGCATCTACAGGTCTTTTCCTTCTTTTTCCTTTACCTCTGTATTTCACTCAACTCTTTAAATTATCTCAGCTCCAGATAAGGTCAAATCCTTCTGTGATCTGACCTTCAGTGAGAGTGTGTGTTTGGGGGTGGACCAACCCCTTTCCCACTTTCACAGTTTGGGCATTCACAGTATTTGAGCTGTTTCCCAGGTTCTGCAAGACCAATCTGCCTCCTTCAGAGGGGTCTGTGGATTCTCCTGGCTTTCCTGGTATATTTCTGCAGTAGTTCTTGGAGCAAAAGTTCACAATGTGAGTTTCCATAGGCTGCTCTGTCTGTCTGAGTGGGAGCTGCAATTTAGTCCTGCCTCCTATCTGCCATTTTTTGAATTTTAGGTATTCTTAGCATATCAGTCCATTTTCATACTACTGATATAGACATACCCAAGACTTGGCAATTAACAAAAGAAAGAGGTTTAATGTCCTCAAGACTCCATTGGCTGGAGAAGCCTCACAATCATGCCTGAAGGTGAAGGCATGTCTCACTTGGTGGCAGACAAGAGAAGAGAGATTGTGCAGGGAATCTCCCCTTTATCAAACCATCAGATCTCATGAGACATATTAATGATCATAAGAATAGCATGGGAAAGACCCACCCCATGATTCAATTACCTCCCACTGGGTCCCTCCCACAATACATGGGAATTGTGGGAGCTACAATTCAAGATGAGATTTGGGTGGGAATAAAACAGCCAAACCATATCACTAACCACAAAAAAGGGGTAACTGTGAAAGGAGATAGATATGAAAATCTTTTTGATGGTAGTAACCATTTTACTATAAGTATATATTCAAAAGTCATGTTTTACCCTTTAAATATAGATAATAAAATATAAAGTTCCCTTTAAAAGGTAAAAAAGAAAACAAATTGACTTTGTGTAAATCATACTGACTATGGGAAATGGGTTTGGATAGCAGCGGAGGAGGACTTATTCTTCTTCTTATTGTGGGTACCTCTGAAGGCCCCCTAGGGTTTATGGGTTTTAATGGGCTGAGAGCAAGTCTAATGCAACTGAAACTTCCTTGAAGTGCTGCAACACTGGATGAAAGCCAGCAGGAACAAGTTTCTCATTTGAACCAAAGAGATGCGAAGGCTCGGAGAGAGGAAATAACATTGTTATCAGTTTTTTTTTCTTTTCCTTATAATGTGCTTTGTCTGGAAAAAAAAAAAAAAAAAAACCTTACTTTTATAAATGCGAGTCAACTGGAAGGGAAAATAGATTATATGCACTTTCTGAGGCCAGAAATTAGTATTTGATGAAATAATTGAGATGAAATAATTCCCTTAGGAAAAATGCTTTTCTGATCATTTACAGATTTAGACTCTGGCGTTTGTAGGCTTTCCATTCATGCCCTTATACATTCATTCATTTCACTCACTCATTCATAGTAGCATTTATTGAGTGCCTGCTGTTTTCTCAGCCTGCCTCTCTCATTATTTCTTTGAACACAAACCTATTTAGAAGGCTGCTAAAATGATTGACAAATTGATTGATATTTTTTTCCCATTTATTTATTTTATTGCATTTTAGGTTTTGGGGTACATGTGAAGAACATGCAAGATTGTTGCATAGGTACACACGTGGCAGTGTGATTTGCTGCCTTCCTCCCCATCACCTACATCTGGCATCTCTCCCCTTGCTATCTCTCCCCAGCTCCCCACCCCTCACTGTCCCTCCCCTATTTCCCCCCAACTGACCCCAGTGCGTAGTGCTCCCCTCCCTGTGTCCATGTGTTCTCATTGTTCAACACCCGCCTATGAGTGAGAACATGCGGTTTTTGATCTTCTGCTCTTCTGTCAGTTTGCTGAGAATGATGGTTTCCGGGTTCATCCATGTCCCTACAAAGGACCCAAACTCATCGTTTTTGATGGCTGCATAATATTCCATGGTGTATATGTGCCACATTTTCCCTATCCAGTCTATCGTCGATGGGCATTTGGGTTGGTTCCAGGTCTTTGCTATTGTAAACAGTGCTGCAATGAACATTCGTGTGCACGTGTCCTTATAGTAGAACGATTTGTAATCCTTTGGATATATATTTTTAAGTGCAGTCTGAAAGCGGGAAATCTGAAGGTTGTTGGAAAGGGCTTTGGAAATACGGTCATCGTTCCTGCTATTTCCTCTGCTGAGAATTTGCAGGGAGCCTTCTGAAAACTAAGGGCCAGGGGAAATGCCACCTGCAAGGCTCTGTATTTCCTTTTGCAAATTCACAAGGCATGCCTAGGAAGGGACTCACACTGCCCCTGCTTGCTTATCTACATGGAGTCTCTTCTTGTTGGTTTCGGCTTTTTTTTTTTTTTTTTTTTTGCCACGCAGGTCATTGGCAGTTAACATCGCAGCTTCCCAGGTGACTGAGTAAGGAAAACTAGATACTTCTTATGAAAGTCAGCACAAAATAAAGATTTCAGAGATCAGTGAAAGAGACAATTCCAGAGCAGGTATCTTGGCTGTTTTGATGTTCTTCCTTTTGGAAAATAGAGAAACCAGCTTCTTGGTTAAAAGAAAATCTATAAGTTCCCTGAGAAGTTATACACAGTCATGTATTCATGTTATATCAATGTACCTTCCCTGCCTATTAAATAAGATCTATCTGTGTCTCCACATATGAATCAGGTTAGCCAAATTCTTTATAGAAGATAGAAATTTAATGAAATATTTCATTTGTATTACATCATGCTAAATATTGTATCTGACCAAAATGTTCACTCACTAACTAGTGATGAGCACCATATAGAGGCAATTCACATTTCTGAGAATTACAAGATGAAAAAATTATTTGTCCATATGATTAAATGTATTCTGAAATTGTGGGGGACAAAGGAGAAAGAGCAATTTAGAGTCAATTTTGTGTGTCCTTGATGTAAAAATGATATGATAAAAAGAGCATTAATTTCTTAGTTCTCCATCTTAATTTGTCAATGCAGATATTGGCTGCTTCTTAGGAGTTTCTATGTGAAATAAAATTATGCAATGAGTAAAAAAATGTATGTGTTTGTTGTATGTGTAAAGCTAAGGAATGTATATGCATACATACATATGGGTAGTTTGAATAAGTAGCAAAAAGTTAAAAGTCCTCGAAAAATAAATGCATTAATTAAAAAATGTATTTGGCCCAAAGCATGTTTTTTTTTTTTTCCTTTTATATAGATTTTAAAATTCGTATTTTGTTCAAACATATTTCTTGGTACTTCTACTGGTCAGGCCTACCTTATTCTACCAAAATTCTCCCTGATGACTGAGCCTGGCATCCTCTGCAGCCTTGCTGCTTTAAAGTGTGATCTGAGGCCCAGTGATATTGACTTGTCTTGCAAGCTTGTTATAAATGTTGAATCTCAAACTCTGCTCCTCACCTAGTGAATCAATCTTCATTTTAGCAATATCCTCGTGTAATTCTCATGTACCTTAAAGTTTGAGAAGTGCTCCTCTCCACAGCTGTTTTTAAAAAGCATCAACACCTCCATACCTTTTCTTCTTATGTTCCTTGTCTCCATTAATGATCTTGCAATCATTCCAGTCAGCCAGGCTGAATATGTCAGTCATATTTGTTCCATCCATCGCCAAAGCCTAGCAATTACATCTCTTGACTTTGTCAACATCTCTTGACTTTGTCATCTACTTTCTCTTCCTACTTCTAATCTCCTTGTTCACAGTTTAGTAAGCTTTCATCAGACTGTTGAAGTCACAGTATTTGTGTTTTGTGTTTTGGTTTTTGGTTTTTTGCCTCCAGACTCTCTGGCTTCCAATCCATTCTCTTGTTATTAGCATGTTAGCTTTCCTAAAGCGTGTGTCTTGCTGCACCATTTTCTGCTCAGAAACCTTCTCTGGCTACTTGTTGCCTACAAAAACATTTTTAAATCCTTTGTCATGACATTCAGGACCCTCTAGGATGTTTTTAAAAGCAACTTTTGACATGCTACTCAGTCTCTTCCCACCTGCCCTTTCAGCTTTATGAGATTATCTTCTTATTTTCCAAACATTTCCTATAATTCACAGCTGCAGTGTTTTTGTTCACGTCTAAAGCGCTCCTCTCAAATAATCACAAATGCAAACACTAATTCCCTTCAAGGCTTTCTAAATCCCTTCTTCGTCCTTTCTCATCATTCGCCATGTGCTTTGGCAGCATTATTAGAACATCTGCGTTTTTTACTCTGACCTAGTGAGCTTTGCATTCGTGTCTTACCTCCCCTTACTAATTCTCAAGTCGTTAAAGGCAGGATCAATGTCTTTTTCTTCCCATGACCTGCCACAGTGCCTAGCCAAGTGGTTTACAAAAATAGATATTCAATTAATGCATTATAAATGCAAATGAATAGCAACAGGAAAGAGGACTTGCTATATTTCTACAAAGAGACACCTTCAATATTAAACATTTATCAAATTATTCGTTAAAATCATCTAGTGATACTAACAGCTAGTGGTATGGAGTACCACAATGGAAGAGTTAACTAGTAGGAGGAGGTATTTATTATAAGTTCTACAATCTACTATTCCCTCATTGTCTCCTAGTTTCTGTATGCCATTTATCTATGTCATCCATTACGCTTTGCTGCAGTACTCCAAAAGGTGTATGTTTTTTGCCTCTCACCATGACAGTTCTTTTTTTTTTTCACTTTATGTTCTGGGGTACATGTGCAGGTCATGCACGGTTGCTGCATAGATGCATACTATATCCAGCATTTCTCCTCGTGTTATCCCTCCCCATCCCCCGCTGTCCCTCCCCTAGTCCCTGCCAACTGTCCCCAGTGTATGACGCTCCTTTCCCTGAGTCCACATGTTCTCATTGTTCAATACCTGCCTATGAGTGAGAACATGCAGTGTTTGGCTTTCTGTTCTTGTGTCAGTTTGCTAAGAATGATGGTTTCCAGATTCATCCAAGTCCCTACAAAGACACAAACTCATTGTTTTTTATGGCTGCATAGTATTCCATTGGTGTATATGAGCCACATTTTCTTTGTCCAGTCTATCGATGGGCATTTGGGTTGGTTCCAGGTCTTTGCTATTGTACACAGGGCTGCAATGAACATACATGTGCATGTGTCTTTATAATAGAACGATTTATAGTTCTTTGGGTATATACCCAGTAATGGGATTGCTGGGTCAAATGGAATTTCTATTTCTAGATCCTTGAGAAATCACTACACTGTCACCAAGACAGTTATAATAGGGCATAAATGTCTAATAATACAAGGTAGTTAACTTCACCTAGAAGCACAGGATAAAGGCATTGCAAAACTCACTGTGCTGGTAGCCTAGTTTCTTTGAAAAACTACGTTTGATGGTAATTTCTGATGTCAATCTTCAAAAGGTTCTGTGTATCAATGTGAGAGTGTCTTAACCTTGAACTCTTTGAGGGCAAAAGAGTTCACACCCCTTTTACAGGCTCCGTTTTTGCTCATTGAGTGCTTCTGTGCTTTTTTTTTTTTTTCCTTAAATCAAGAAAACCATGTTAATAAAATGATGCTGATGAAATTGTTTTTCACAGAAACTCATTGGGAACCTACTTTG